ACTTCTAGTCTTTAATAATAAACATACTTAAAATTCAGAGTTTGATTATTTAGAACAAGTTCTCGTATATTTTCATAAATGATTTATTCTTAATCAATAACTTTGATTCTTATAAGTAATGTTTAAACGTAAAATTTTGAATACATCACTCGAATTTCACAAAAACTTATCTAAATACAATTTCATCAACTTACCGAAAAAAAGAAAATTATATGGTTAACAAAATATCGGAGTAGGTTTTGGTGGGCATGTATTACGGTGATTAGGTTTGAAAACTTGCATATTAAAATGGTTTTCTTTTCTAGTCGATATAATTTGTTCAAAAAATTATCTAAATTTTTTTTTATATTAAAATTTAAAATCTAACTTTCAGAAAAAGATCAATACATAGTACGGTCAATATATACTATATTTTATTTAAAATTAAAAAAAAAAGATTTTCTTGTTAAAATTTTTCGAATAATTACACGAATTAAAACTCGATTTCCCACAACATAAGATTAGGCGGGTTTGATTGGACCCTCAATCCCTTGCTTCATCAATGGCATTATAAATTGATGTAGACACAAGCTTATAAACTTTCTTCTTTATAGTGGGACTCATCCTCCAACCAAAGCTACTTTTTTTTTTTTCTTTTTTAGTTTTATATTTTAATTAATTATTGTTAATTAATTAATTAGTTAAACTAATTAATTAATTAATTAGTTAAACTAATTACATTTTCTTATAATTAATTACCATGATCCAATCAAAATTAAGAAATTGGCAAAGTCTTGTAGGCATAATTGGGCGTGCCATGTTGAATTTAGGACCACAATATTTTGTTTAGTAGATATTGTTGTCTATATATATACAATTGCTATGTATCTATACATCCCCACCAATATATTGGCTAGAGCTTGAGGGACAAGAATTTTGTTGTTGGCACAACTTTATCTTTTTTTCTTAGAATCAAATTAAGCATGCAATTCCATTGGTTACCTTTTGATTTGTTTAAAGTTTAGTAAGTTAATTAAGCAATAGGTAATTAACATAAATTATATAATTAATTAAATTAATTATATATGTGGGTTTTAGTGGGTACATATACATCATATATAATTCATTAATTAATTAGTAATGATTACCGATATTAAAATGATTATGTTTTCATTGTTCAATAATCTAATTTCCTTTACTCAAAACTCTCTTTTTCTCCTTTAATTCACAAACCATATTTCTTTGGTAAATAATTTTGGTAATTAATATAAAATTTCTAGAAAAAATAAATAAATAATTGCGGGGAAAATACGTTCTTAAAATTATTCAAATAAAAATAATAATAATAATAATAATAATTTCTCAACCATAAATATAAAAATCCTCTCCAAATTTTCTTTAAAATTTTGAGTATTTAATTTTAAAAAATATAGAATACAAGATGATTAAATTCGACATGTTGATATTGGTGGTCCATATTTAGTACCATATAGTTGTCCTTGGTTGTTGGTAATAATTAATCTGTATACATATATATATTTATATATTTAGGCTAAAATAGTGATTTAATAATTGTATTCTTGATTTTTATTTAAATTAATTTCTATACTTTTAGAATTTTCAATTTACCCTTTTTTTATTAACAACTATTAAATTTGATGTTATATGTCAATTTGACAATGATATTTTCAAATTAGTTATGTATAAATAAATATCATATTAAATATCACATGATATCTGATATGACATTTAAAAAATTAGATTTTGACAAATTTAAACCGATCCATAAATTTAAAAAACTAATAATTTAAACAAAAGCCTAAAATCTCTATTTCCTCCTCGTCACTCCACACATAATCAATCATCTTCTCGTCTCTAAGAAGCTTAAGGTTATGTCTGTAACGACCCCAGAAACTTTAAAGGAGATAAATTATAAATTTAGTGCGGAAGCAAAATAAATAATTAGGTTTTATATTCCTTACACAATAATTGAAAGTATCAAATAGAGCTTACGGGCATAACCCTTTTAAAAGAACAACTAATAACCAAAGAAATAAATTAAAAGCAAATAAACTGAACGTACTACTCACAACCCTATTGTGAATCGGGTTCTGGATCCTGATCCTCTTGATCTGAAATGATTAATGAAAGAGTGAGCTACACTACATAAGTAAGAATATTACGCTACTCACCGACACAGAAATGAAGGTTGGTAGAAATCATAAAAATAATTAGTGGATCTCTTAATTAAACAAATTTGTTTATCATAAATAAAATTATTTACTGCCTAATTACCGTAGTGAGATTTATAAAAATAATCTACAGAGTCAATAACATAACATATATCATAATTTTATATGCAATCAGTTGGAACAACAATTTTCTCTTTATCAGCTTACTGGTATCTATTGGGATCTGTAGGGATGTCTCCATTACACGTGAACTCTTTCTTTTAATATTTTTAATTAATGGGTCGTCCCCATACTCTGTCCGGTATAAGCGCCAAATTATCAAATCTCGATACTCCGTCCGATATGAGGGGTGAAACTAGCCGTCCCCATACCCTATCCAGTATGAGCGCCAAATTACCGAATCTCAATAACCCGTCCAGTATGAGGCAACGTTTATGATAGTTTTCTCTATGTACCCGATCCGTCCACCATCTCCCAGGATATCCAGTAAGGCTATCGTTTCATCCATCCACTTAACCAAATAATTTTTCATTTACCTTTAATTTTCAGTGTCCTAATTCAACCGTAATCCCATGAGACAAACAAAATATGTATCAAATGAATACAATCGCATCCCATTTTTTCAATTTAACTGTAATCTCATAAGGCAAGCAATACATTCATTCAAACTATAAAATTAATCAATCAGGTATTATTATGCATTCAAACTGTAAAATCAATCAACATGATCAATAGTGAATAACTTCCAGTTCTGTTTCCATTAGTAACCTGTAATTAATTATGAATATTTTTTCAATTATACAAAATATTGTATTATTATTAATTAGACTTCAATTCTATAACAGAAAATAAGGTGAGAGATTCTACACAAATTGATGTTCGAAATGCTAAACTTTTGATTGCACCTATTGGCGGTCCTTGAGTTTTCTGAATTTTCTTTTGGAGATTAAAACGCGTTTGAAGTGCCTAAAAATATCTCAAAAAATCCAAAATCAGTGTTAGGAACCCTTTTTGGCCAATGGTAGAAGAATTACGCAGAACGAAAATCGGAAAGGGTCTCATCGGAGGCGATTTTTGTAATTTTCCGCAGCGGCATAGCCGGGACTTGTCCGCAGTTTCCGGCCAATCCACTGGTCATTTTGCTCAGATTTAACCATGATGGTGTTTAAAATTAAATTTCGAGCAAAGGAGTGTTTACCTCTTTTGACGGTCAGAAGTGGCTCTGGTACGGCGGCGGGCGGCTTCCTTTTTGGGGCTAGCTCTTCTTCTTCGGCAGGGGTGTCTGGCGGCTAGGGTTAGGGTTTGGTATGAATATGGTCATTTATATCCATCTCATTTTAATCTGTACCGTCTATTGTGTTTGATCTGAACCGTCCGATTACGATTAACTAGAAGTGAATCTGAGACATCCATCACGATTTAATCTGAACCGTCTGATCTCATTTAAATAGGAAGTGGATATGGACCATTTATCGCATTTAATCGTGGTCGTCCAATCGCGTCTGAGGAGGGATCCTTTTTGGCCAATTTCAAAATTTTAGCATAGCAGATCCGCTGTGCTCCAACGACGGTATTGCCGCCCGCGGCGATGGTTTGCTTCGAGTCGACTGTTTTTAGTCAGTTTTGTTCTAATTCCTATGAGAAAACATGTTAAGGGCCATCAGTTGACCGAAAAAAGTAGAAAAACTAAAACTTACCTTCTTCTATGCTGTTCAGGATCTAGGTCTCCTCAATTTCAGGTCGTTTCAGTTTCTATTGTCAGAGAAATTTGGACTTGTCATATGTTTGCACTTATAAGTATAAGAAAAGGTTCCTCGACTTCATTCATCTAATTTTTTGGATTAGTAGGAAAGAAAGGAATATGAGAGTCTTTAAGGACATTTGCTCTGTTTTGATAGTACTAGGTTTTACTGGTCTGTAATCTATTTTGTTTACAAGGCATCTATGCTTGATGACATAGATGTTGTGACCCTTGTAGACTTCCTGGCCTCTGATCTCTTGTAATTTTTTGTATGTGGATTGCACTCTCTTGTGCCATTCAGTAGTTTTTTCTCATCTGGAAAAAAAATTGTGAAAAATGACTAGTAGATTTCTTATGCAACATTTCCTTTTTGTTTTGTCAAATACATTTCATGATTGTTTATCATTGCCCTTTCTGCAATTTATGCCGCCTGGGAAAGGGGCTTGGTGTTGACTTCTTCCATTGCATGAAATGCAATTGTTGTCTAGCAATGAAGCTGGTGGACCACAAATGCCGAGAAAAGGGTCTAGAAACAAACTGCCCCATCTGCTGTGATTTTTTATTCACATCAAGTGCATCTGTAAGAGCACTTCCATGTGGCCATTTCATGCACTCAGCTTGCTTTCAGGTCCATTAAGTATTGAATTTTTTCTTCTTCTATTTGTGGTTTTGCTATTCTTTTAGTTTTCGTCTTGATGCTACTGGAACAATGTTCGTAATGCTTGATGGTAACTTAACTTCTGCTTGCATTTTGTTGTTACAGGCATACACATGCAGTCACTACATCTGCCCCATCTGTAGCAAATCTTTAGGAGATATAGCAGTAAGAAAAAAATTCTACGTGCTAAACTAACTGTAATGTCAATTTTCAGCAAATAATCCTCTTCTAGGGTCTTGTCAAGGAAATTTGATTATTTGTTGTTGTTCCATGTACAAACTATGTCCATACGCGCGGAAACAAATCTGGACCGTCCGATCGTGGGCACGCGGATTACCAGTGTGGCCTCCCACGTGGCACCGCATTAGCATCCCTTACCACGTGG